AGGGGGTAGAGTGCCCGGCTGGAAGGGGGGTAGGGTGCCCGGCTGGAAGGGGGTAGAGTGCCCGGCTGGAAGGGGGGTAGGGTGCCCGGCTGGAAGGGGGTAGAGTGCCCGGCTGGAAGGGGGTAGGGTGCCCGGCTGGAAGGGGGTAGGGTGCCCGGCTGGAAGGTGGGTAAGGTGCCCGGCTGGAAGGGGGTAGAGTGCCCGGCTGGAAGGGGGGTAAGGTGCCCGGCTGGCCAGATGCAGGCAGGCAGCACTCACACAGCGTCCATACACTGGCATTGTCTTTTTTTGGTTGTGGGGCCTGAACTCTGGGCCTGGGTGCTTTTCCTCAGCTCTTCAGCTCAAGGTGAGCGCTCTACCACTTGAGCCACAGTGCCACTTCTGGTTTTCTGGTGGTTCATTGGAGATAAGAGTCTCACAGACTTTTCCTGCCTGGGCTGGCTTTGAACTGCGATCATCAGATCTCAGCCTCCTAAGTGGCTAAGATACAGGCGTGAGCCACCAGCACCCGGCTTGTCTGTTTTTGTCTTTTTGTTGTTGTTGCTGCCAGACTGGGACTCGAACTCGATACCCGATGCTTGCTCCTTGGCTGGTGCTCTACCACCTGAGCCAAGCACCCCCCAGTCACTGGTTTGACTCCCGTCACTGGCCAAGATAGACCAACAAGGACCAACTGCTCTTCTGCCCCTCGTTAGAGACAACCGAAAACAAACCCACAAAGAGCGTGAAACAACTGTGGGCAAGACCCGGACATCACGCAGCAGGGGCCCGGCCGGCCTCCTGAGAGGCTGGGGAAAGGAGGCCGAGTCTCCAGCCTGCCCAGCCCATGGCAGAGGACCCCACAGAGCCCAGCACACTTCCTGAACTGTGTGCAGGGCCGGGTGCCATAAGCCAGAACCCGGGACCCCTCAGCGCTCGGCTGAACACCGGTGAGCTCATGCACAGCAGGAAAACATCTCAACGGGGAAATGGAGCCAGGGCACTGCCACACGGCCGGAGACAAGGTACCAACTACATTCCACGGGGTTCGCAGTTATTGGGAGCCGGGCGCCGGCAGCTCATGCCTGTCATCCTAGCTACTCAGGAGGCTGAAATCTGGAGATCACAGCTCAAAACCAGCCTGGGCAGGAGAGTCCTGAGACTCTTATCTCCAGGTAACTACCAGACAAAGCTGAAGCGGCGCTGAGGTTCATGTGGTAGAGTGTTAGCCTTATGCAGAAAAAGCTCAGGGACAGTGCCCAGACTTCAGGAACCAGGACTGGCAAAAAGAAAGGAAGGAGGAAGTAAAGGAGGAAGAGGAGGAGGAGGAAGAAAAAGAGGAGGAGGAGGAAGAAGAAGTTGTTGTTATGTTGGGGCTGGGGTCAGTATACACAGTCTCTAGGTCCAGCCCCCAGACACCCTCCCAAAACACACCCCATATGTAGAAACATAGAAGATATCAAGAGTCCTGAAGTGAACTTCTAGAGAAGAAAATAACATCTGAAATGAAACAGCACTGAACAGAGCTAGCAGCAGATTAGACACAACAGAAGAAAATATTAGCAGCCTCGAAGACAGCCGCGCGAAATGAAAAACCAAAAAGAATGCAAAACGCGAGGAGGGCTTGGGGCCGGAGGCGCTCCACCAGCCTCAGCGGGGAGAGGAGCGGGGGCGGGCAAGGGTCGCAAGAAACAAGGCTTGAAATGTTGCCAGATGGTAAACCACAGATCTAAGAAGTTCCCGGAACCTCAAACACGAGAGACAAGAAACACAAACAACCGAAGCTGCGTCCAGAGGCACAGACAGCCTGCTACCTCATTGAAAGCCTGAATGTCTATTACTGTGCCGTGAAGAAGAGGGCAAGGCCCAGGCCTCGCTGGGGAATAGAAGCGGCAGTCTGCACTGAAATGATAGCTTCTCCACAAATCAAAGAAGTAGGCAGACCTCTCAGTTCACTTCATGAAACGAGTATTCCCTCAGCACCAGAGTAAATATGTACAAAAGAGAATGCCATACAAGTCTAGGTGCTAGTGGATCCCACCTATAAACCTTAGCTACACAGGATCCTATAACCAACCTTAGCTACTCAGGAGGCAGCGATTTAGAGGATCGGGGTTCCAGGCTGGCCCCGGAAAAAGCAGGGTGCAGTGGCACGTGCTTCTCATCCCAGGGAGGAGGAGGGGGTATAATTAGGAGGATTAAGGTCCAGGCTGGCTTGTGCAAAAAAAGAGAGAGACCCCTTCTCAAAAATCACCAGATGAGCTGGGCGCCGGTGGCTCACGCCTGTAATCCTAGCTACTCAGGAGGCTGAGATCTGAGGATTGTGGTTCAAAGCCAACCAGGGCAGGAAAGTCTGTGAGACTCTTATCTCCAATAAACCACTAGAAAACCGGAAGTGGTGCTGCGGCTCAAACAGTAGAGCACTCTCCTTGAGCTGAAGAGCACAAGGATAGCACCCAGGCCCAGAGTTCAAGCCCCACAACCGACCAAAAACAAAAAGTCATCAGATGGGCTGGGAATGTGTCTTAGTAGTAGAGTGCTTGCCTAGTATGCATGAAGCCCTGGGCTCAATTCCTCAGTATCACATAAACAGAAAAAGTCAGAAGTGGTGTTATGGCTTAAGTGGTAGAGTGCTAACCTTGAGCACAGAGCAGCACAGGGACAGTGCCCAGGTCCTGAGTTCAAGCCTCAGGACTGGCAAAAATAATAACTAGGGCAGGGAAGGTGGCTCAGTGTTAGAGTGCTTGCCTCGCATGCATGAGGTCTTGGGTTCGATTCCTCAGCACCATATAAGCAGAAAAAAGCCAGAAGTGGTGCTGTGGCTCAAATGGTAGGGCGCTAGCCTTGAGCTGAAGAGCTGAGGGACAGTGCCCAGGCCCAGAGTTCAGGCCCCATGACCGACAAAAAAAATTTTTTTTAAATAAAATAATAACCAGAACGAAAAGGATGGAGGTGGGGTTCAAATGGTAGAGCATCTGCCTAGTAAGCACAAAGTTGAGTTCAAAACCCAGTATCATAAAAAAGAGAAAGAAAATCACACACCAGTGTTTGTCATGAACACAGATGAAAATGTTAACTAAAATATTCAACAATGTATGAAAACAATAACATAGCAAGTGAGGCTTATCATGGGAATTCAAGGTTGTTTTAGCTTTTTAAAAAAGTCACTTAATGCAGCCGGGCGCTGGTGGCTCACGCCTGTAATCCTAGCTACTCAGGAGGCTGAGATCTGAGGATCGCAGTTCAAAGCCAGCCCGGGCAGGAAAGACTGTGAGACTCCTATCTCTAATAAACCACTAGAAAACCGGAAGTGGCGCTGTAGCTCAAGTGGTAGAGCGCTCGCCTTGAGCTGAAGAGCTGAGGGACAGCGCCCAGACCCAGAGTTCAAGCCCCACGGCCGACAAAAAAAAAAAAAAGTCACTTAATGCATGCCACATGCATGATAGATATACAAATCAAAGGAATAGAATTGAGAGTCCAACTGGTCACTGGTGGCTCATGCCTGTATTTCTAGCTACTCAGGAGGCTGAGATCTGAGGATCACGGTCTGAAGCCAGCCTGGGCTGAACAGTCCCCAGGAAGGAGACTCTTATCTCCAACTCATATCCAATTAACCACTAGAAAACCAGAATTGGTGTTAAGGCTCAGGTGGTAGTGTGCCAGCCTCGAGCAAAAAAAGCCAAGTGAGAATGCAAGGACTGCGTTTGAGTTCCAGTGCCGACACCGCAAAAGAGGCGAAAACCCACAGACTGGGAAACACTCGCAAATCACATGCCTGATAGAGGCTTAGTATCCAAAATAGAATTTTTTGGGGGGTCCGGTCATGGGCCTGAACTCTGGGCACTGTCCCTCACCTCTTCAGCTCAAGTCTAGCACTCTACCACTTGAGCCACAGCGCCACTTCCGGCTTTTTTTTTTCTTCTGCTTATGTGGTGCTGAGGAATCGAACCCAGGGCCTCATGCATGCAAGGCAAGCGCTCTACCACTGAGCCACCTTCCCAGCCCCTCCAAAATATAATTTCATAGCTCTCATAACTCAAGCATAGAATGACAAATAACCTAATTTAAAAACTGGCGATGGAGTTGAATAGACATTTCTCCAAACAAGAGATGGGAAGAGCTGGCGAGCAGGGAGCTGCTGGTGGCGGAGCGCTGTGTGCCGCTCGGCCTTTCCAAGGCGCGGCTGCCCGAGAGGATTCTCGCTGGCAGAAGCAGAGATCAACTGGAACCTGCATGCGCCTCCCAGGCGGGCATGCAGCGGTCTGAGCACTTGGCAAAGCAAGCTGGCCATGTCTTGGCACCCCCCCCCCGGCCCTGTTCACCCCTTCCTCTCTGTCCAGGAGAAGTGCAGGTGTGCACCTGTGCGGCACTTACCTGTGGATTTGCACACCAGTTTGACTGCTGACAGCCACACGCTGTCTCGGCAGGTGATTGGGCGAAGGCACTCGTCACATGGATGGAGGGGATGCACATACTCAGCCATGCAGAGCCGCGCGGCCACGCCACGGCCCTGGAGCACTGCGAGGAGTGGCAGAATGACACAACATGTCATCTGTAGTGAAAGGAAGTGGATCTGTGGCTTCCCAGGGAGGAGCCAGGGCCGGGAGGACAAAGAAGCGAGAGGACCTGGGGGCCCGCTGGACATCCTGGTCCTGGCGATGGTGTCACAGGCATGCACACGCCAAACTGTATCCAGATCCCGCCCCAGGAAAGGAGCTCAGGCCCACGGGGCACGGGGCACAGCCCACCTCCTCCTGGGGGTGGGGGGGGTGTTCTCATGTGTGACAGGGAAATTTCCTGTGAGAGTGTGCAGAGTATACATGGTGAGTGTGTGCACACACTTATGAGAGTGTATTTAGTTAATTCAGAGCCAGGCACTGGTGGCTTAGGCCTGTAATCCCAGCTACTCAGGAGGCTGAGATCTGAGGAGCAGTTTGAATCCAGCCCAAGGAGAGTCTATAAGACTCTTATCTCCAATTAACCACCAAAAAACTGCAACTGGAGGGGCTGGATCAATGCCCAGGCTGTGCGTTCAAGCCCCAGGGCCTGCACAAAAAGTAAATAAACAAATGCTTCTGAGTCTTTCACTTTCATCCCTTTGGCCAGATGGTGGAGGAGGAGGAGGAGGAGGAGGAGGAGGAGGAGGGTGCAGAAAGGGTTTTCATGAAAGAATGAAGGATGAGGGGAGTGGGTTGGGCCCCATCTCCTCCAATCTTTGTTAAACAGGGAAGGGTTGTGTTTTTCAAACTGGAGAACGCGATCCACAGGGGTTGAGAACTCTGCTTAGCTGGCCTTTGACCAACATGGCTCTAAAGTAAATAAAGTAAAAAACTATCATTGTTCCACTCAATAGTGAAGGTAAAGTCTCTTGGTGATGACTTGTGCCCATTTTACAGACTGTGGCCCACACCTGAGTCTTAATGGGAAATACCTGGAAGCCTCTGGATGCCTGGGGCACCTAGAATCATTCATAGTATCAATTTGGACAAAACCAATGTCTACTTATTATAAGAGAAAAATATCACACACCCCATCCTACATACAAACAGTTCTCCACAATGGAGGCACAGTACTTGCTCAGTAAATCCATTGCTGCTATTGCTATTGATAACTAATGATTCCAGACCCCATTATGGGCTTACCCCAAATTAGCTAAATGTCCACATGTAAAGAAGTGATGTCAGAACCCTCTCTCCAGGAGCTGGGAAGGTGGCTCAGTGGTAGAGCGCTTGCCTTGCATGCATGAGGCCCTGGGTTCGATTCCTCAGCACCACATAAGCAGAAAAATCCAGAAGTGGTGCTGTGGCTCAAGTGGTAGAGGGCTCACCTTGAGCTGAAGAGCTGAGGGACAGCGCCCAGGCCCAGAGTTCAGGCCCCAAAACCAACCAACAAAACAACAACAAAACAAAACAAAACAAAAAACCCTCTCTCCCAATAAAACTTTACTTTGGCATTATGCCATCCACCTACTGGAGTGGGATGCGATCAGCGAGAAGTCCTGGAGAGCTTGTTCCCGTGTCTGCAGGAGGATGTGGCTCGGGAATCACCAGCCAGGGTTCAGGGGACCTACAGAGAAATCTCTCTTTGGCTGAAGTCCCAGGAATTTCTGTGCTTCTTCTTTTACGATTTGGACTCTGTGAGTGATGGCGCGGATCCCGTTTCCCTGCTTGTGTTGGACCAGTCCAGACCCCCCCTCTGGTAAAGAGCGCAGGACCCGTGGCATGTGCTCAGCCTGGCTGTGGCTCACTTTTTTCTACTCCCTCCCCTGGCCTTGGGGAGACCAGCGCCCAGGGTTACGAGGCTGCTGGCGCTCTGCTGGTGGGGCTTCCCCCTACCCGCTGAAGAGGCCCCGGGCTCAGGGCTGTGAAGGCTCCACCGAGCGGCCAGGCGGCCCTGCAGGGCTCAGGTGTTCAGCTGTGGCTCAGGCCCTCCAGGCCCAGGGCAGGGCAGGACACACATGCGAGGCAGACGTGCTGTTCCTGGGCCTGGCCTCAGGCGCCGCTGCTCTGTTGGCAAGGGGGCCCCAGGGACAGCCCCCTGTCCAGGGCCAACTGAGGAAAGGAAAAGGGAACTGTTCGGGCCACAGTGGTGACACAACACTTGGCCATCTGGTTGCTTCTTCTTCCCACAGTGCCTTGGGCTCCTGCTTCTTCCCACAATGCCCTAGGATCCCACCCAACCAATGAAAGGAGCCGGGGCGGGGCCTGGGCCTGAGTCAGGGCGAGGACCCACCCTGGGAAGACCCCAAGAGGACCCCTGGGACTCCAGCTTGGGGGCTCGTTTCTGTCTGCTTGAAGCATTTTCCTGCCTTCCAATCATTCCATCTGAACTCTAGACGCAAGGGTCTGTTCCAGGTGGGGGCTCTTCCAGCCCTGAGTGCTGGGGCTGAGTTCTACGCAACTCACAAGGGCGACCCATCCTACCCCTGCCCCAGACCCCTCCCACCCCTGCACCACCCCTGGGCGTGCAGACATGGGGACGTACAGGCCAGAAGTGGGGTCACTAGAGCAGGGTGAGCATTACTGGGGCAGGATGGCTAGGGAAGTCCCCCCAAAACGAAGCCGGGTTCAGGAGCTGAGCTAGAACCGGGAAAGCAGGCTGGAAAATGCCATCAGAATGGCAAGACGGGAACCAACTGCTCAGAATGGAGCAGGCATCGCCCTCCCTCCTCTTTTAGATGTTACATGAGATATACGATTCTGAAGGTGTAATTAGGTCCAGGAATTTTTTTTAAAGGCCTGTTTTTTTTGTAAATCTCAACTGAGAAGAATTATTTAAAAGGATCCTAAAACCAAACAGTCCCATGCCACAAGACCCTTTGATTCAAGGCCAGCCCAGACTGTTTGTCTCCAGACTTGCGTTGATAGCATCAAAACGGATCATTGGGAAGTTGCTAGGCAGCCATACACACAGGTGACTCAGGGGAGCTGGAAACCCTGGCCCAGCCGGGGGACACAAACGCCCCAGATGGAAACTGGCCACTCAGCCTCTGCCGCACAGCTGGCGGCCCTCCCTGCCTTCTCCCTCCCTTGTCTTCCGATGCTAGATGAAGCTCTGCTGGCTGCTACTTGTGTGCATTACTCAGAAATTTCTTTCCTTGTTATTCTAACTTCCTGGAGAGTCATTGGTGAGCTTGGGAAATAGCTGAGAGTTCCTCTTCTCTTTTTCTCCCTCCCTCCCTCCCTCCCTCCCTTCCTTCCTTCCTTCCTTCCTTCCTTCCTTCCTTCCTTCCTTCCTTCCTTCCTTCCTTCCATGCTGATATTGGAGCTTGAACTCAGGGCCTTGTGCTCTTTCTGTTCAATGCTGGCACTCTACCACAGGATCCATACTTCCACTCTAGATTTTGGCTAGTTAAGTGGAGATAAAGAGTCTCATGGATTTTCCCACCCAGGCTGGCTTTGACCCACAATCCTCAGATCTCACCCTCCTGAAAAGTTAGGATTACAGGCATGAGCCACGGTGCCCGTTGAGTTCCTCTTTCTACAAGGAAATCTCCCCTTTCCCACGTATCTTCCTGATGACATAGCAACGTCTGGGCCTGCTGC